CTTGCTGAGTTTATTGGTTTCTAGGACCCTTTAGGTAGAGCTCTCTGGGTCTGTTATGTAAAGGAATGTGCCATCTGAGAATAAGGGTAGTTTGACTTCTTTCCTATACATATTCCTTTGATTTCTTTCCTTGTCCTGCCTGACAGCTCCAGCTAAAGTTTCAAGTACTATATTGAACAGGAGTGCAGTGAGAGGACACTTCATCTTATTCCTGATTTTAGGGTAAAAGCTTTCAGTTTTCCCATTTAGTACGCAGTTGTCATAAATGGCTTTTATCAGGTTGAGATAAGGTATTTCCATACTTATGTACTTCAAGTTTTTTTTTTAATCATAACTGGATGTTGGATTTTGTCAAAGGTGTTTTCTGTGCCTATTGAGATGATTGTATAGTTTTTGTCCTTGCATCTGTTTATGTGGTATATTACATTTATCGATTTATGTATGTTGAACTATTCTTCCATCCCAGAGATAAAGCCAGCTTGATCACGATGTATGATCTTTTTAATGATCTGTTGCATTCTGCCTGCTAGTATCTTGTTGAGGATTTTTGGATTTATGTACATTGAAGAGATTGGCCTACAGTTTTCTTTTTTTTTGTTTACTCCTTGTCTGGTTTTGGTATTAGGGTAATGAAAGCTTCCAGGAATGATGGTGGCAATATTCCTTCCCTTCCAATTTCATTGAAAAGTGTGAGGAGGATGGCGTTAGTTCTTCCCTGAAATTCTTGTAGAATTCTGTGGGGATTCCACCAGGTGCTGGACATTTCTTAGTTGGTAGATTTTTTTGTTATTGCCACAATGTCATTATTTTTAATCTTCAGTATTTTTATATCCTCTTGGTTCAGTTCTGGTAATTTACATGTGTCTAAAAATCTGTCCATTTCTTCTAGATTCTCCAATTTATTGGAATGCAAGGTTTTCAAAGTAGTTATTTATACTCTCCTGGATTTCAGGGGAGTCCATTGTTATCTCACCATTTTCATTTCTAATTGCATTGATGTGGGTTTTCTCTTTCCTTGTTTTTTTCTATCTAGTTTAGCCTTTTGAAGAGCCAGCTCTTTGATTCATTGGTTCTTTTGTGGTATAAAGGACTTAACATTTACTGTCTTAACCATTTGGAGTGTGCTGTTCAGTTGTGTTAAATATATTCACATTGCTGTGAAGCAGATCTGGATAACTTTTCCATTTTGCAAAACAAAAAGTTCAAACTCTTTATTTCTTCCTCTCCAGCCCCTGCGAACCAGCATTCTAATCTCTGTTTTTATGAATGTGACTACTTTAGATACATTAATGGAGGTATAATCATGCAATATTTATTTTTTGTGTCACTGGTTTATTTTATTTAGCATAGTGTCCTGAAGGCTCATCTATAATACTTTTTTAACCTGTGAAGGGTTTCCTTCCTTTGTAAGGTCAAATAGTATCTCATTACATGGGCATACCACAATTTTGTATCCATTTCTCAAGTTATGAGCATTGAGCTGTTTCTACTTTTTAGTTATTAGGAAAGATGTTAAGAATAGTTGTATACAAGTTTTTGTGTGGAATTATGTTTTCAATGGTTCTATACACTGTAGGTGTGGAACTTCTGGGTCATATGATAACACAGCAGTTTTATCAGGAACCGCTAAAATGCTTTCCACAGTGGCTGCTCCACATATATTTCCATTGGCAATGCATAAGGGTTCCAATTTTTCCATATTCTGACCAATACCTGTTGTTGTCTGTTTTTTTTATTATAGTCATCATAGTGAATTTGAAGTGGTATCTCAATGTAGTTTTGGTTTATATTTCCCTACTGACCAGTGATGTCATAGTTATTCTTCAAATGGAAGAGGAAAGGGGCTAGGCCCCAAACTAATAGTTTTGATTTCTGTTATGATAAGGAAACCAGGGTGACAAGGGAATGGATTAAGAAAGAGTATCAGGACTGCTAAGGTACACTCACTATTACTGTTGATAATAGCACTGCTAAAATAACTTATGGCTAACAATGTCAATCACTATTCTAAGTGCTTTTACATATTTTGCCTTACTTAACAATACTTGATACAACCACACCTCCTATGTATGAGTACTCCTTCATATGCACCCTTGTAAAGTTCCTTCAAGAGAGAGAGCATATCTTTTGATCTCTAGTTACTCTGATATTGAAAGTTGTATTCCCCATCTTTATCCTACGTGGTTGTCCACTTCTTCTATTTTACACTGGAAGGGTCAATTCTGAGACTCGTCTTTGTTTTTCTGGTTGACAGGTAGTTCTGCTCAGGTGTTCACTGTCAGTGGCTATTTCTGGCTGGGGAATACTTCCTGTCACTTAGGGAGCAAGAACCCAACACCAAATACTTGAGCTGATTAAATTATCTTCCACACTGGACAGCTCTCTTAGCAGAGAGTCTGAGTCAGTGCATGTGCAGCTTGTCTCAGGATTTTCCTTCTCATATAGGTGTGTTCAGACAAGACTGGTGGATCACAGCAAGCCTGCCCTCTTTGGTCTACTGGCTTGTCATGAAAGGTCAAGAATGACAGTTGTGAAAGTAAGCCCAGAGGGCCAATGAGAACGGTTGAAGTGGCTGATGTGTCACTGAGTGGTCTGTTTTAAGAACCTTGTTCAAGGGGGCTGGTGTTAGGTCTGAATATGAGTGAACTAAATTCAATGCTTAGTTTCAGATGTTGTTGGCAGCATCCAGGTTTTTGATCATTAATTGTTTTGATTATAAATTATTTGGTTCACTCAACTGATAAGTTATAATTTTAGTAATGTCACTTAAACTTCTCCCATGGGTTCACTGATGCTTTCACTTGGATTTGCAAGCTCAGAGTCGATAGAAGGGTCTTATCTGTGTAGGTGGAGAATACCTAGTGAGTCTGAGCAGAAGCACATTTTGTGGGCAACTGAAGGAACAAGATAAATAGATGTACACATTACAAGGAACTTTTCATTTTGCTATATAAATGTATGATTGCTCAAAAAGAAGCCTAACTCATTGTAATAAAACCATATTATCACATTAAGTGACTAATGAAACCATATAAAGAACCAAGTCTTGTTCAGTATTCAGATAGAAATTAAAATACAGGTTTAGCTCACAAGAGAAGTATCAAATGATCAGCTCAGTTATGACTTCTGAGCAGATATTCTCATACCAGAGAGACTGTTAAATACCTGCTAGACTGGTTACACATTCAGTATGATGCAGATACTTTTCGTGGGATAAAGGTAATGAGGAAGTGACATTCTGCCTCACCCACAGGTGTGTACATAAAAGCACAACATTTGAATTTTGCTATAGGTTAAGAATCAGAAGTGAGCTACCCATATAAGAAGAATAAAATCTCATCTATTAATGGCAGAATCTAATAGGCAGACATAAAAAGAAAATGGTAAAAATATTTTATAGTTATTAAGAAATAGAAAAGAGATAGTCCAACAAAAATCTTCCATTAATAAATAAAAAGTGGTGAGATTTTTTTCATACATTTTTCTGATTCAAATTTTGTCAATAGCTTGGAGATGTGGTAGATTTTTATGCTTTATGAGAAGTACATATAAATTGCTAGTAACATTTTATCTTCTCTGGGATTTTTGATCTTGTTATTGATCATGGGTTTGGGGGAATAAGTATTGAAATAGCAATACATGAATAATTATAACATGTATACTTTTGTACGGTTAGCTAATGATATCTATTACTGTTATGTGACTCTCACAGACATATTCTACATATTCTTTAAAATGAAGCACACATTTAGGCAGACTCACCACCAACATCTATTCAAAAACTGTTTTCAGACTGTGAAGCAGAGCATAGTATTGTTGTTGATGATTATAAACAATACTGAAGAGAGATTCATTCTTTGTAGGTTTCACTTTTTGCCTCTATTTTTTATCATTTTCTGTACCTAAGGAAAATGAAAAAGATTTTTTCTACTTTCAATCTGAGTCTACTTGAAATTACCATATCTTGTGGGGTTTACATATGTAGAGATTTTAAAATAAGAACTTCTGATAGTGAATGGGTACAGATAATTTAGAATTTGTGAAGTAAAGGATGCATGTTAGGAACCTCTAAAAATATGAAGAGGATTATTAGGACAGCGACTATATTTTGTAAGATATTGTAATGGTATATTACAATGCCATATACATGCCATATACATTTGTCAAAATGCACAGAATGTGTAATACAGACAGGATGCTAAAGTAAACTATCAGTGTTAACAATATTATATTAAGATTGGCTCATCAATTCCAACAAATTTACCATATTAATGAAAAATATTAATAATGGGGAAGGTTACAGGAGGGGTAATACAGGAAGGGGGGGATACAGGAAGGGATAAAGAAGTAAATGGAAATTCACTGTGATTTCTGCTCAGTTTTTCTGTAAGTCTAAAATTATTCTTAATTTAAAAAGTTCATTAGCTGAAAAAACACCCCAATAAAAATCAAAGAAGATTATAGGACTTCTAAGCTAATAGAGGGGAAAATGAGGTGATAAAAGATGGTGAAAATAACACAGAAGAAATAGAACAGATAGGACACATAACACATAGAAAACAAGAGATTAAACAATATATCTTGATTTACATATAATATAAATGATTAAAAATTTTACAGATTTGAATAATAATGACAAAAAAGTAAAGCCCAATTCTATTCTGTTTATAAGAAACACATCTACAGCTTAAGGACAGAGAACATTTAAACATAATAAGGAGGGAAAAGAGATATCATTTATATATTAACTAAAATTAATTTGATATAGTGTTGCAGAGATGTACCTCTTTTTTTTTTTTGTTTTTTTTGTTTTGTTTTGTTTTGTTTTTCTCCGGTACCGGGAACTGAACTCACGACCTTGCACTTGCCAGGCAGGCGCTTTTGCCGCTGAGCTAAATCCCCAGCCCCGAGATGTACCTCTTAATGAAAAAATTCATTCTCCAGAAAGATGTAGAAATTCTAAATTTATAGGTACCTAGTGACCTAACCACAAACATGTACACACAGCAAGAATCAATAGAACTGTAGTAGATAGGCAGATCACAATCATATTGGAAGGCTTGAACAACATGTTTTGCAAGCCTGACTTAATGGATCTGTTCAGACCTTTTCCCAGTAATCACAAGGTAAGCTTTTTTCCAACTCCATATTATTCATTAAGACTAATCAACTGCATATTGTGCATAAACCAGGTCAATACATTTTAAAGATTTGACAATAACTAGTGTCCATAAGCTAAATGTAATGAACTTAAAAACAGAGAGACAGCTCCAAAATCCAATACCTAAGAATTTATGTTAATAAAATGAGGTCCAAAAAAACCATATGTTGAAAAAGTAATCATAATGAACATTATAAATAATTTTGAACTAAATAAAATAGCACATTTAAATTTATGTGATAAAGCTTTAAATATATAAATATATATTTGTGTTTAAAGGTTCCTGTATGCATTAGGAAACATTTTAAAATGCAGATGACAACTATACATGCTGGACAAATACAATCCTGTCTGCTAAACAAATCAAAACAGAACAACCTACAATTGTTTGAAGGCCCTAGAGACTAAATAAAGGCAGGGAGATTTGGGGGGAGTGTGTAAATTTAGAGCAAGTGACCAACATGGAATCAATTCCTATTTTAAAAACTTTGACTCAATGACAGTCACATCCACAGTGTAGTCATGCAGTGCAGGAAAACCCACTGATGAAAAACCCACTGTCTTCCAGGTGGAAAAATCGGGGTGGGAGAGTAGCCTCGCCAAAAGTTGCCAGATACTGAAGAATCATGAGGAATCTAAAAGAGAGGAAATTCCTCAGTTCCGAATATGAACCCTGCAAAAATCTCAAGCTCACCTTTGGAACATGTGCTAATAGGACAGATTGAAAACAGTCTACCGAAGCTTGAAGAATTCATATAAGATATGAGCCTTCAATCACAGGTGGCAAGACAGAGCTTACAGTTTGAATCCAACCATGTTAACACTGGCTAAAATAAAAATACCAACATTCATCAGAGGAACATAACAGAACTCTGTCTGCACAACATAATGTCACAGCATTCAAGACTGCTAAAAATTACCTTATGCATAGAGAACCCATAAAATGCAATCCATTCTAAATGAAAAAGAAAACCAACAGATGCTAACTCCAAGATGATCCCATTGTTAAGGTTACAGACCATGATTTTAAAGCAGCTATGGTAACTTTGCTCAGGGAGGTAAAGGAAAATACACTGAAGATGAGAGCAAATGCAGCAAATACCAGAAGAGAAATAGAAAAGTAAACCAAAGAGAAATTTTATCACTGAAAAATAATTTTTAAAAAGCCATAGGATGAGTTGAATGGCAGTGTATAGACAACAGAGGATTCAGTGAATTTAGAAAATAAAGCCAAAGAATTATTTGATTGGAAGAACATGAAGATAGCATCAAGAATCTCTGGGACACTAGTCAAAGGTCTAACAAAGGGTTATGTGAATTATTAAGAAGGAAGGGAGAAAGTGGAACAGGAAAATATATGAAGAAGTTATGGCAGAAAATTTCTAAAATGTGGCTAAAGACATAAATTTATAGGTTCAAGAAGCTCAGCTAATCCCCCAAAAGGGTAAATGCCAGTGAACATCATGATCAAACGCCTGGAAACTAAAGATGAAAAAGATCATGAAGGTAGCCAGGGAAAACTGACATCTTACAGTACGGGGGAGCATCAGTTTGGACAATTACAGACTTCTCAGATATTACAAAGGTCAGAAGGTAGAGAAAGCACATTTTTAAAGAGTTGGGAGAAAATAATTAAATTCTATATCCAGCAAAACTGCTGCATAAGAATGAAAGTAAAATAATTTTTCAGGTGAGGGAAAACAGTGAGTGTTCCTAGGAGTCCCACAATACTAGGTATTCTAGGGGCTGGGGATTTAGCTCAGCGGCACAGCGCCTATCTAGCAAGTGCAAGGTCGTGAGTTTGATTCCTGATACCAGAGAAAAAAACCAAAACAAACAAACAAACAAAATACTAGATATTCTAAAAAAAAAGAAAAGCTCATTAAGCTGAAGAAAAAATAATTCCAGAAAGAAACCTAGAAGTTCACCAATGAATGAAGAGAATTAAAATATTATCTCCTCAAATGTAAAAAATAGTTTTCCCTGTAAGTTTTTCAAACACATAAGATCATTAAAAACAAAATGAAGTCATTACCTCATGGAGTTTTTCACTTGTGTAGAAAGTCTACCTCTGCCATATTTAACGTCAAGGGTGGTAAGAAGGAAGTAAAATACTTATATGCTTCCTTTTATGCGAAGGATATTTCTTAGTAAAAAGGTTTTTAATAAAAAGGTTTCTTCCTTTTATGTGAAGTGAGACAATATTAGCTAAGCATACTATAAAATGTTAGGGATATATAGTATAATCCCTACAGCAATCATTAAAAAGTGAGAAGTATACATATAAAGATAACATATTATTTAAACAGAATACTAAAATGATCCAAATAATCCAGAGAAAGACAATGAAATGAGAGCAGAATTTTACAAAACAAACAATAAAAATAAATAGAAATAATAAAATATAAGATTTAAATTCACTCATGTTGATACTTAGGTTAAGTGTTAGTGCTATGATCAAGGGGTTCACAAACTTTCCAAAAAGAGCTGGATGGTACGTATTTGCATAATACCTTAGAATTCAGGTACTAAAGTTAAGGTACTCTCATCTTAAATTAGGATATTGTAAGTGTAGGATTTTTCTCCAAGTAAATGGTAACCAAAAGAGAGCAGGGATATCTATACTTACATTACACAAACTATAAACCAAAAATGATAAAAGAGACAAAAAAGATCATTACATAATAAAAAGGCCAACTCATAGAGCTATAATATATGTAAGTATATAAGCACCGTTATTGGAGTACCTAAATATATGCATGCATATAACAAATCTGCAGGGGGAAATAAGACTACAATAAAACATAGTAGGGAATGTCACTCCAATTTAAATGATAGATAGATAATCCAGACAGAAAATCAATAGGGAAACAGGGACTTGAACAAAACTAAAATGGACCTAACAAACACAAAACATTTCATCTTATAGCAGCAGATACATGTTCTTCTGAAGAGCACAAGGAACATTCTCCAGGATCATAAATTAGGCAACAAAACAAGTATTACTAAATTTAAGAAGACTGAAATCACATCAAGTATCTTTTGTGACTATAATGCAATGAAACTAGAAATCAATTAGAGAAGAATTTTGGAAAAATTCACAAATTCATGAAAATTAAACATCTTCCTGAACAACTAAAGTCAAAGAAGTTAAAAGAAGAATTAAAAAAAAATCTTGTGACAAAGTAGTGGAAATAAATATACCAAAACTTAATGGTCTACAACAAAAGTAGTTTTGTGAGGGATATTTATAGCAATGAGTGCATATATCTCAACAAATGAGTTCAAATAAACAACATTACATCTTAAGGTACTAGAAAAGGAAGAATAAACTAAACCTAAAATCAGTAGTAGGAAGGAAATAATATCAGATTAAAATTAAATGAAACAAAGTCTAAAAAGACAATAAAATATCAGTGAAACTAAGAGTCTGTTCTTTAAAAAGACAGACAAGTTAACAATGTTTCAGCCAGAATAAGCAAAACAAGACAGGACTCCTATAAAATCACATGTGGAAGAAGAAACATTACAACTGATGTCACAGAAAAAAATACATTGAAACTGTTTTTATGGGTAGACAGAGAATATTAAGTAAGCTATGGAACAACTTCAAATGGCACAAAATACATGTAATTGGAATCTCCAGAAGAGTGAGTGGGGATAGAAAAATATTGGAAGAAATTGTGATGATAAATTTCAAGAAAAGTGTAAGTCCATAGCTCCAAAATGCACAAAGCATCGCACACAAGGAACCTGAAGAAAACTACAATTCTACTAGATAGGAGTGTACTGGCTCAGTAAGTATGCATAAATTGACATTATCTTTAAAGCTGGACTTATGGCAATATTCTATGCCTGAGCAATTACAATTTTAAACACGTATCTAATAGAAAAGCATGCACATGTGCACCAAAAGATACGTGTACATGCATGTTCAGTGCAGCACTACTTATTATAATCCCAAACTGGATGTGTCTGACTCAGAATAGATAATACAGAAATAAAAAGAAATGAATGATGTATGCATTGAAATCACAAATATATTGTTGATGAAAAGAAGCCATCCCCCAAGTACCCCAAGCAGTAAGCATCTAACTACTTAGTAGTAGGTATCTATCTAATTTTTAAAAGACAAAGGAAGAAGTCAGGACCCTGATT